TGTGTGTGTGTGTGTGTGTGTGTGTGTGTGTGTCCTGATTTTCCTCCCCCCACCCTTTTTAAATGTAATTGTGTTTGTTTCTTAGTGAGGTTTCCAGCCCCGAAATCAACAATTAAATGGAAAGGATCCAGTAGGAAAATGCAGGAGCATAAAGACTTCTTTTCTTGTGGACATGTATTTCCCGCTCCTCTACAAACTCAACGTTAAATACATTTGTAAAACCCCTGTCTTATACCGGGCAGGATTCAGCTCCCAGAACAATTCCGTGTGTGCGTACATACATTGCTAGCTAGAGATCAGATCGTGCCTGTGGAAAAGCCCTTTTATTAGGGGGGAAATCTTTTATATCTGTCAATATTCGTTGTATGGTGAAAATAAGCTGCTTGTTAAAAACGGCTCTGAAGCTGCAACAGATTTCAAAGCGTGTTTAACCAGCGAGAGGCATTGAAAGCTGTTTAACTGCTTGGCTAGCAGGGGAAAGAATGGGAATAAACTGCGTTGTAGCCTCTTACAATTCAACAGGTTTGAAGAGAGGAGGCATTCCGCCTGTCCGGCGTGGAGCCGCGCCTGGATCCCTGCAGCTATCGAGACTGCCGAGATTTATCCGCGCAGACTGTGACAGCCGGGCAGCCTGCGCGGAACGGGAGTCACGTGTGCGGGGTATGCGGAATGGGAGTGCGTGCGTGTGCGTGTGTGTGTAGCGTATGCGGAATGTGTGTGTATGCGTGCCTGCGTGTGTACCCACGCTCCGATTATGCTGTCTGCATCTGGAGCAGCGTGGACGTCCATTTCCGTGCACACACGGATACACACACGGTGCTTTCCCTATGTCCATTCCGCTCAGTCAGTGCGCGCGTTTCTAGACACTCCCGCACCTCTCCGCACACTCTTCGCCTGCTCACTGTATGTGCTGCAGCGTGTCCCTGGCTCGTGGGCACACGCACACACCCACCCACACACACACCCACACACACACAGTAGTACAGTCAGTCTCCTTTCAACCAGCGCCTGGTACAACGGCAGGGCGACCTACCCAGTCCCATACGCCCTCTGTCTGTCTAGCAAGGCGCACTTGGCATGAGTGCGTGGGTATCTAGAGAGACTCTGTGTGCGTGTGTGTGTGTGCCCACGAGCCAGGGCGCACCCCACCCTGCCCGCTGGCAGGTGCGAGCACAGGTGGTCGCGGAGCTCCCCGTGCTGCGGGGACAAAGCGGCGGGGCTGGGGCTGGGGCTGGGGC